TCTATAGTTTTCTATGAAGTTACAATGTAAAGCGCTGCAATTAAATTTTGTATTTACTCACCATGTGCATTTTGTTTCTAAATCAAACCTGCTTTAAAAGACCATTTTATTTTCAATTCAATAAAAGAAGGTAACGTAGAAGTGAAATTACAATTACAGCTGTTGATGGTTACAAAATAAAGTACTCTTCTATCAGCATTGTATTAAAATGCTGAACAAAGAAATGCTCACTGTTTTGCGTTGAATGGTGCTGATTTGCTAGAAGCAAAAAAGCAAAAAAAAAAAAGAAGCTTTGTCTGCACAAAAGAGATGGTGATGTTTTGTATCAGAATTGTTTTGCATGTTTTGACAATTAATGGCCTGCTATAATGTCCTACACGTGTTAACACATCTACTATCTACTGTGTTTTCCCACTTTTTACAGCTGCTAGTCAGCACGAGTAAGGTACTTTTCCACAACCCTATTTAAAACCATTAAAGTAGTTGTAAACCCTTACATATACACAGTAAAGTGACCATCCTTAGGTAATACACAGGGATGAAACAAACCCTTCTACAAAAGTTGTACCTGTTTATCTGCTGTCTTCTCTTCTATACAGTATATCTGCTCAAAGTTCAAAATTTATAAAACTTGTCTGAGCTTTCAAAAAAAAAAAAAAGAGGACAGTGAGCTGAAATTACACACTGCAGAGCTTGGTGAGGAGAGCTCTGAGAGCTGGTTGGAGGGAAGGGACACATCCTCTTTCACAAAGCACACAGAAACAGAACTGAGGCTGTCAATCACATTATCTCTTGGTATCAGGAAAACTAGTCAGAAGTGATTCATGCTGATATCAAAGGAATGAGGCAGAAGAAATAAATGGCACTTAGTGCTCTTGAGACAAGTACACACTATAGAAGGGATATGCTTTGTTCAAAATTCATGTCTGAGGTTGACAACCACTTTACTGTAATGTGTCCTCTCTATATATTATTATTATACAGGATTTATATAGCGCCAACGGTTTGCTCAGCGCTTTACATTATAATGGGAGACAATGCAGTAACAATACAGTTCAATACAAGAGGGATAGGAGGGCCTGATCCTTGGAGCTTACAATCTAGGAGGGAGGGGTTAATGGTACAATAGGTAATAACTGAGGGGGATGGAGTGGTTGGGAGAGTAGAGGATTTCAGTATTAGCAGAGGGTGGGATAGGCTTCCCTGAAGGGAGAGGTTTTCAGAGATCGCCTAAAAGTAAGTAGAGTAGGCGATAGTCTGATAGATTGGGGTAGGGAGTTCCAAAGGATGGGGGACGCTCAGGAGAAGTCCTGGAGATGAGCATGGGAGGAGGAGATAAGGGAGCTAGAGAGTAGGAGATCTTGCGAGGAGCGGAGAGTACGGTTTGGGTGATATTTAGAGACAAGATCGGTTATGTAATTTGGGTCAGTGTTGTGGACAGCTTTGTATGTCATTGTTAGTGTTTTGAATTTTATCCGTTGGGCAACTGGGAGCCAGTGGAGGGATTGGCAGAGAGGGGTTTCAGATACAGAACGGTTAGTAAGGTGGATGAGTCTGGCAGCAGCATTCATGATATACTGGAGTGGGGATAGCCTGCGATGAGGTCGGCCAATGAGGAGTGAGTTGCAATAGTCAAGGCGAGATATAATAAGGGAGTGAATAAGTTGCTTAGTGGTTTCCGATGTTAGGAACGGTCGTATCTTGGAGACTATATAAGACTTGGGTTCCCTGCCCATTGCATTCATCACCACAGCTATCATTCCTACAGACTCCTCCTCTCTTTTTTTTCAAAATCAGAGTCGGGCATGTACAGAATGTTGGAGGGTTTAATGTTATATCATTGTAATAATACTGTGATGTATTGCACCGTGAGCTTGTTATTCAATTAAAGCATTTAGTCAGGTTCTGGGGCATTTGAAAAACAGAATATTCTCTCTTGCAAGATTGGTTGCTTGAAATGAATAAAGATTCACTTCATTGTGCCTTTCCACACTTCAAACTTTAGCATATCAGTCAAATATTTAATAATGGATGATTCACAAATGTCAAAACGTAAAATTCACAAAAGTCAAAAAGTTAAATTTACAAAATTGCTGACAGCTGTGTTCTCACCAGATAGGTATATGCAAAGTTTCCACAACCACCTTTACTGTAGTAAAATAAATTGTAAACTTAAATCCAACTACTGAGTGAAAGTTCTGGACTTGCCATTTAGGATGTTTTCATTGGACAGGGGAATTCAATGTAGAAAGGACTTTAAAAACAGGGAAGTCAAGAGTTTAATGACATCGCAAATGCAGTTATAGAGGTTGGAATTGGGGTCTGGCTAATAAGATAAAGAGAGTTGGAATGTGCTCACTACTTTTAGCTAGAAATTTCAGTTTTTTAAAAGTTTTTTTGGACTATGTCACTTAAATTATATCAATCTCTATTATCTGTCAAAGTTCTGTATAGCAAACGCGTTTCCAAGTTTTTTTTATTTTTTGGGGGGGGGGGGGGGGCAGAACATCTCCCATTTCATCGGGGCTTGGAATATTGATGGAAATGGGGGACTGGAGAGAGTTGGCATGCTTTCCTGTTGTAGCAAACTAGGCATGCCATTTTTTGCCAACTCTATATCTTCTATCTCTGTCAATATTCAAGTCCTGATGAGGGGGCATTGATATGCTCCTGAATTGCAAAACCAACACAAATGTAGTCTAAACAACTGTTTTAATAGAATACATTTGTTATTTGGACTCATCTTTGAGGGATGGCTCTCCATTTTGTCCTTCCTTTTTGAATTAGGTCCCTTTCACACGAAGGGTCCTGTCAAGGTCCTACCTTTTTACAGAGGTTATGTTACTCCATGTGCTGGCATCCATCTTGGATTTCTGCAGAGCATGGTGGGAATCTTTTATGCCTTCAGGTCTCTGAGGTCCATCCCCCAGAGGGGTGTGGCTGATGACATATAAGCCTGTGTTCCGCACATGCTCTTTGCACTTGTGTCTTGGTGTTGCTGTTACTCTGTTCTGACTCTCGTGACTCTCCTGGAATCTGACTCGGCTTGTGACCTGACCATTCTTTGTGTTCTCCTTTGATCTGACCCTCCATTGCTGAACCCGGCCCGTGACCTGTGATTCTCGTCTGCTGTCCTGTACCGTTTTTGTCTCGTTGTTGTTGACCCGGCCTGTCTGACTACTCTATTGTCTTTACCACTAGCTACACGCCATTGGCGGCGGCCATTACCGCAGCTGGGGTGCCTCGGGGGCCGCGACCTGGTTCCTGGCTGCGTCAAGTCCATCCCCACCATCAGGGGCCCTAGTGAAGGGCAGCCTGGGACTTAGACTCTGCGCCCTGAGGGACTTCGGTCTGTGGGTGGTGTGTCGTCAGCCTGTGCATTACATTGATATTAGGCCTGCCTGTCCATTTCCCAGCTCCTGCCCAGACAGGTCCGACCAGGTCCACCTGTCAGTTTTTAAGGCAGACCTGATAAGTCCCTCTATTCACCCCTCTGGACCAGCTAGTGTAAACGGTCTTGTGTCCATTTACACTCACCTATCTCTAATCAAATCTGGTCTGCTAACAAAAAATGGAAAGGGATCCCTCCCCCTCTGTTTAGGTGGATGGCAGTCGGGTATAAATGGACAGTAGAATACGACCTGCTCTGCTCAGCTGGAGAACAGTGGACAATCCCTGCTGATCTAAGTAGAGCCTGCCCCATTTGAAAGAGGCCTTAGACCTTAATTAGGCAGACTGAAGAAGCTGATGTTGTTCAAATGGATTTTTGCCAATGTACTCATCTCTTTCTGTAATATATACCCTTGACATGGCTGCCATTGTCTAGATTACATACTGTACCTATAAAGTTGAGCCATTCAGAAAGATGCATTAAGAATCAAGAATGGAAAATTCTGATTCTCATAGGTAGACATAGTTCCAGTAGTTTATGAGCCATGAAAGAGAGGAATGCCTGATAATGCGAGTGGGAAAGCTGATGCCCAGAAATTTTTTGCATTTTTAATTTTCAACCCGCTGTAGGGAAGGCATGTACACTTACATAGCCAAGCATTAAAAAAACTGAAATCACTTCAACCAGGAAAACGTTTCTGAGTTTTTTAAAATACTTTAGTAGATGTATGCAACTCATGCTGCTATAGAGCAAAAGGTGACAGAGATTTATGTCTTGGGAAGTGTGAAACATGGATTGAGTGATAGAAGAAATTACGACCGTCTTGTTAAATGCCTGAGGTGTATGACTGAAAGATGGCTAGATGTTTGAAAGTGAATAATGGACTTGGCATTCATCGAATGGCTGACACGATTGCTGAACTTCCCAACAAAACAATTTATAAAAACTGTTATTATTTTTCTGCTACTATCACAATATTTAACATTCAAGCTAAGCAGATAAAATAATCCAAAATGATTTTTTGGCATGTACATTTTTTTTAATATCTAAAAGATAAAGATGAATGGGTCCCGTAACTGACAGTACCAAATTCTGACACCCTTCTAAGGTGCATACAGGAGGGAAAAGATAGCAGATTGGGTCAGTACAATAGACCAACACTACCAGTAATGATTAACTTCTTGCCCTCCTGAGGATTTACCCCCCTTCCTGACCAGGCCATTTTTTTGTAATACTGTGCTGTGATACTTTAACTGACAATTGCGCAGTCATGCAATGATGCACCCAAATGAAATTTATGTCCTTTTTTTCCCAACAAATAGAGCTTTCTTTCAGTGGTATTTTATTGCCTGTGCGTTTTTATTTTTTGCACTATAAAAAAAAAAAGTCCGAACATTTTGAGAAAAAAACAATGTGTTTGACTATTTCCTATTAAACATGCCCAGTAAAAAAAAAATTTAAACATCAAATTTTGTCATAAATTTAGGCCAAAATGTATTCTGCAACATGTCTTACCTAAAAAAATCCCAATATGTGTAAATTAATTGATTTTATGTGAAAGTTATAGCGTTTACAAATGGAGGTATATATACTGGAGCTTTTTTAATGTTTTTTTTTTACTAGTAATGGCAGTGATCAGCGACTTACAATATAGTGGGACTGTGGCGGGATTTTGACATTGGGGGGAACTAACTTGGTGTCACTGACATCCCCAGTGACACCAATACAGTGATCAGTGCTATTAAAAAGCAGTGACACTTTACTAATGGCACTGGGCATGAAGGGCTTAACATCTGTGGCGATCAAAGGGTTAACTGTGTGCGGTTTCACTATATGGGCTGTGTCTGTGTTTCACTGTAAGCACACTGCTTTGTATGGCTCTGCTATGTAGAGGTACAAACCAGGTAAACACTAAAATATATATATATATATATATATATATATATATATATATATTTATATGTATATATATATATATATATGGGGTGATCAAAGGGTTAACTGTGTGTGGTGTGTGTTTACTATGTAAGCACACTGCTTTGTATGGCTCTGCTATGCAGAGCCATACAAAGCAGTGTTCAGGAGCCAACAGGGGAGAGATCTGTATTGTTTACATACAGGTCTCTCTCCCGTCAGATTCTTGGCGATCACCGGGCGCCGGTGAGTAATCACCTTCTGGGACCCAGTGATTGACAGGCCGCGAATGGCGGTTTGGATAGGGCGCCAATGAACCCCCTACCCAGAACTGCAAAATCACGTATATATACACGTGATTTTGTGCACCTGTGCCACCCTGTAGCAGTATTTCTGCTATAGGGCTGTGCGGAACTGGTTAAATATCAAATGGGACAGATTTGTCAATTTTAAGAAAAATAATCTATATTTTTCTGATAATCCGACTTTTACAGGTACATATGGAGAAATCAACCTTAATTTAAAACGATATCATTTTATGTCAACATATTTGTTAAAACAATCTGGATCATTAGAATTCTAAAATTGTTGAGACAACTTTATCAATCCAATAATAAAACAATGCCGCATTTTGCACAATCATACAAGAATGGACTCATTCACCGCGTACTGTGAATGGTTTATATACTTATAGTAATCATTATTTAATAATTTTGTGTAGCTCATACCAGGGGTGGACTGACCATTTGGAAACTCGGGCACTGCCCGAGGGCCTGGAGTCAGTAAGGGGGCCCCATGAGATGCCCCTGGTACCTTTTTCATAGGCTTTTTTGAGTTTGGGCAAGGACACAGGGGCCCCATGATCCCCTATTGCCCGGGGGCTCCATGAGTTGTCAGTCCGCCCCTGGCTCTTACAGTGATGATTGAGGCCCTTGATGAAGCATCCTCGTTGTTTCTCTCTGCTGAACTGCTTCCCTAGGACAGAATAGGAGCATATTACTGCACTATAATATAATAGAAAACACCTTAATGTAAAAATCAGTATAATCAATAAATCAATCTTAGGATTACAGTCATAACTATTTGTATGTTTTTCATGTATAAAAAAGAAAAGGCCAAGTATATCATACCAAGATGCAACTACTGCAATGATTTTGCTATTTATCAACAGGTAGTAAGCTTTGGAAATAAAAGAATGATATATACCAAGCATACATTTTAAAAGCTCACTAGTGGACCTATAAGGAGTGCGTGATTGCTTACTTTTTTATTTTAAACAATTTCTGAGAACATTGGAGCACTGCTGAGCAGGAAGAATCACTAGATCATTACACAGACTGCATAATTCAGCTTCAAGTGACTGGAAAAGCTATTGTAATGCAATAAAATTACATTTGGTTTGTTTTTGCCTATACACAACTTTAAATAGCAATTGTTTCTGAGAAACGATTTTAACATACAGTACACAAGAGTCATACTATGTGCGTGTTGCTTCTTTTGCTTTAAACTGGCATAATTGTTCAGTTAAATGTTTTTCCTCCAAGGGGGGTTATGAAGAGATCTCACGTAGTAGTATACTTTATGTGGTCATGTTTAAATGAGAGGAGATAGAATTATGTTATTTAGCTATACAGTATATGCAGGGACTGGACAAAAAAAATGAAAACGCTACATGATTTTCAGGTGTGAAAGTGCCAAAATGTTTTGCGTTGAATGCAGAAGTGATGTAACATTATTTTGCTTCTGCTGTGTGATGAGACACTTAGCTAACAGACGGGAGGCCTCGTTTTCATCATTATCACGTACCTGGTGAAGATTGGAATATTATGGAGGCCTCTCTTGCACCTCCTGCCCAACATTCCTGAAGGTGGAGACAGAGTGTGAGGGCAAAGAGTGGCTGTCAGGGCTCCCGGTAGGACACACATAGCACACGTTTCCCTGTGAACTGACACAGGGAAACGCAGGCTCAAGTATGGTGTAACAATATAATTTATTAAGGGTTATACACAAATATAACGCACAATATAACAAAAACCAAACCCAACGGATAACGGAATATACACTGATAAGAGCAGTCAGGGCTGGCGAGGTGGAGTGGTCAGGCGGGCCGGGTCAGGAATCATCGGGCAGACAAGACACAAAGGAGTAGGCAGAGCGTAGTCACACGGGCCGGGTCAGGAACAATCAGGCAGACAAGGTACCAAAGGAGCAGGCTGGAGAGTGGTCAAGAGTAGCCGAGGTCAGGACAGGCGGAGTTCATTCAAGGTCAGGATCAAGCAGAATCAGAAATCAGGCAGGAAGCAGACAGGATGCAGGTACAGGGGCTCATGGGAAACATACACCAAGGCACTGGCCATTCCTTAAATACACTTCCTGCAATCAGCCTCAGGTGATGGCTGACTGCAGGAGTGAGCTTCTGGTTGCTGAGAGCACCCGCTGGCTAGCCCTGGTACTGCAGCCCACAAGGCAGGTGAGTCCCACCACCATTGGCAAGTCCATTCCTGACAGTGGCATGAGTTCTGGAGTAGCTGGCTGGTGGTGTCCATTCTGAAGGTAGGTAGAGCTTGAAGTCGCAGTCCTAGGAATTGGATGCAGGAGCAGCTTAGCACCAGAGCAGAAGATGAAAGCAGGACCAGGAGACAGACAGCATACAGCAGTCAGCAACGACCAAGCAGCGAGGGGCCACATCGGCAGGCAGAGCAAGTCCAGGAGGCAGGCCGAGGTCAGTAACAGCGAGGCAAAGTGGTACAGGAACAGCAGGCAAAGTCCAATAAACAGGCCAAGGTCAGAGTATTCAGGTGAAGAGAGTTTAAGCAGGAGCAGAAGCAAAGTCCAAGGGCAAGCCGGGTCACATACAGGTAAGCAGGTACAACGGATCAGGTCACAGGAACAAGCTGAAGACCATTCATCAACTGCTAATAATGACAGACCAGTTTAAATAGGCCATTGGGCACCAAGTGTGTGCACTAATTGGAATGCGCAATCTCCATTTGCATGTGCTCGCAGTGAACTGGAACAGCACATCTATTGTTGAGCACGTGAACAATGCGTAGCATACAAATATGAGCATAAGCCTGTACTGCTTTTCTGGCGCTAAGAATTTGGCTTCCCTTACAGTCATTTACTGCGTGTAATATGGAGTCATGGCAGAGCTTACTGAGCTTCGAAGAGGGCAAATTGTTGGTGTCCACTTAGCTGGTGCCCCTGTGACTGAAGTTGCCAATTTATGTGCCGTGTCGCGATGTACAGTATCAAAGGCTATGACAGCATATATAGATTGTGGGAAAACATTGTCTGATAAGCATAAACATGCTCAACTGACCAAAAGACACAAAAGGACATTGTGCGGGATTGTGATCCGGAATAAGAAAACAACTGCTACAAATGTGACTGCAGAGCTCAATCTCAGTCTTCATGGGACAGAGAATGAGCTCTGCTCTGAGCTGTGTAAAACCCTCTTTCAAATTCTTGAAGGCCTGAGTCAGTGTGGAAATATGCTGGCAGATCTCATCAATCTCAGGCTGTTTGGTACTGTAATGTACCTGGTGATGGAGCCTAAAGTGTAGAGTAAGTAACAGGGAGTGCAAGAGAACAGAGTAGCATGAGTGCATGATAAGACTTCTGCTGGTGGATGCTGATGTGTGTCTGGGTATGAAGGAGCAGCTAGAAAATGGCACACTGGCAGAAAAGCAGAAGCTGGATCAGTTAGAGCTCAGTTGGTTCAAGTGCAGGGAGAAAAATAAAGGCAAGGTCAGATGGTCCAGGTTGGCAACTAGCAGGCAGATCAGGCATAAACAGCAGGCAGAAAAGTAGTCAGGAGTCAAGCCAGGGAGCACATTGGGTTGGCAACAGAAGAGCAGTACAGGAAACGTTGCACGGATGCTAGGAATATTGTAGACCAAACGGCACTGACACAAGGAAGGAGTGCAGTTTAAATATCCCACCTACGCCAATAAGTATGGGTGATGCCTGACACCACCACTTATCCAAATAATAACTGTGACACTTTCCTTGGTCTCTCTGTGCCTTTCCTCCATCTTGGATGCTAACCTACATGCCACACCCACACCCTTACATAAGCCCACTGAACTAACTAGCCTCGGGCGACACAAATTTAGGCCAAAATGTATTTTGCTCCATGTCTTTGCTAAAAAAAAATCCCAATACCTGTAAATTAATTGGTTTACATGAAAGTTATAGTATTTACAAATGGCGGTATATATACTGGAATTTTTTTTTTTTATACTAGTAATGGTGGTGACCAGCGACTTATAGCGGGACTGTGGCAGGCATTCTGATACTGGGGGGGGAACTGACTAACTGCCACTGACATCCCCAGTGACACTAATACAGTGATCAATGCTAATAAAAAACACTGACACTGTACTAATGACACTGGGCAGGAAGTGGTTAACATTTGGGGCGATCAAAGGGTTACCTGTGAGCTGATTTACATCATGTGCTATGTGTGTTTTACTAGGGAGACATGCTGTGCAGATAAACACACAGCAGCATGTCCTTGCTGGCAGGAGAGGCACCTGTGTTGTTTACACAGAGGTCTCCCCCTTTCAGTTTTGATGAACGCCAGGTGCCGGTAGGAAATCTACGGCCTGGACCCAGTGGTTGACATCCGTAGCCGCCAATGGCGGTGCTGGCAGGGCAGGGCAGTACGCACGCGTGCCCCCTGACGGGAAATGTAAGTTACATATATATACGTGATTTTGAGCAGCCCTGTAGCAGTGGTTCTACTATAGGGCACCCGGCAAGCGGTTAACACAAGTGAGAAACCCTCTTGAGACTTCCCTGTACTATAATAAAACCTACTTAACAGATTGAGAGCAAAACTACTAAATAGAAAGTCTAATATGTTCTAAATAATTCAACTAATAGCATTTGTGGATTTTTTTCGACCTTTTTACCTTTACTGATTTTCAGCTCTTGTTCTTTATTTAGATACCGAAGTGAGCAATAATTGATTTCTAGTAAAAAGGTGGTAATTGAGCGCTGGGAACAATAGGAATAGTGAACAAAAGCTGCTAGCATAAAGGCAACCTCTAAACCCGAAATCAAATAAACAAATAAAATATGCAGCGCTAATATGAATAAGTACATATGGATCAATCAGGCAAATCAAAACCATAAGTGGTACAATATCATATGTTAACACATATGCTAGCTCAGTCTTTAGAGTAGTAGTGTAGAGGTGATTGAGTGCA